GGACTTTTTTACATTCGCATGAATGCCTTTTATGGTTGGTTACAGAGGATGAAATTCAGTTAGCATTGACGTAGTGAAGCCTATTCTCGCTCACAAGGGATTTATGCTTATTTAGTCATTTCTCATTCAGTGACTCTTTGCTGTAAACAAATTTCTTTGATATATCCACATCCATAAAATATATCCAAATCGAAAAATATATTCATTATCCGTCTACACACACGAAGATGTAGCCATTATGTGGGCTTTTTCTTTTTTCTGCTTTGTACTTTCAAGAATGTAAAATGTTTAGTGTAGTATGATTAGATAAAAGTTTGAGCGTTCCAATTTGAAATTATGATCGAACATTGAATGATAGTCCTTCACAGTATCGCGAAGCATTCATCAATGATGCACTATGAAAATATTTGACTTTCTCAAATGTCATGAAATTCAAAACAAAACAAGATTGCTGAAAAAAAAATTTCTGCGACGAATCAATATCACAGGATGGAAGAGAAGGTTGAGCGTAATGGATGTTGTTGGGATATGCCGAAACAACTCATCAAACACAGAGTAGACTCATCGTAAATGAAATCGAAAAATATCAGTGATAAACGTGAATTTTGAATGCTTTCAGTGGATTGGGTCTTTCCCAGTATCCGGAACCGATCCAGACACCGTTTCTTTACGACTGGATCGATTCGCACCTCAGCTACCCCCGATACCAGTTCAACTATCAGTTTCGGTGATTGGAGTGAAGGTTTGTGCAAATGACGATGATAAGGTTGGTGAATAATAGCCTTATTTTCATTTCTGATTACCAACTTTTTCAAGTGGAACTCTTGTGTACTAAAAGGAATCTCTTGAAGTGTTCACATTGCATGTTACAAAAATATCAGTTGAACAAATATTATTCCAAAATATAACTTTTGAATGAGCATTACACTGTGAAGTATAACTGATCTGTGTGGTAGATAACTGATCCAAAGTGGGAATCACTAGTTGTTGAATACGAATATTGTAAAGGAAAAATGTTTTAGAACGTATTTTGGTTTTTTTAAAATATCATAGGACGACAGTATAATTGTACCCTTTTTACGTATTATAACAAAAGTGGTATGCTTTGCACAAATAATATAGTTTGAAGAATTCATCTAGTGTACAGTCAACAATACAGTTACACTGCAGCCATGTCATATATTACAGTTTTTTTTTACCAACTTGTTGAAGTGGAACTCTTGTGTACTAAAAGGAATCTCTTGAAGTGTTCACATT